TAAGGGATGAAGGAGGAGAGGAAGGCCAGCCTGTCATGGAGGACCTTGGTGAGGACTTGACTTTTTTTTTTTTTTTTGCAGTGGGGCTTGAACTCTGGGTCTGGGCACTGTCCCTGAGCTCTTCAGCTCTAGGGGAGCGCTCTACCACTTAAACCACAGCGCCGCTTCCAGTTTTCTGGTGGTTATTGGAGATAAGAGTCTCAGCCACCCAGGCTGGCTTTGAACCACAATCCTCAGATCTCAGCCTCCTAAGTAGCTAGGATTACAGGCATGATCCGCGCGCATCCCCACTTGTTCTGGTTGTTTTTAAGAGAGTTTCATATTTTGTTTAGGCTGGTCTGGACTGTCATCCTCCTACTATGCACTATCTGCCATCCACAGCTGAGATGACAGGCATACACTAGCAGGTACAGCTTTTTTCTATTCACATTCAGTGTCTCCAACTTTTTTGCTTGGGCTGATGGATTCTCCGGATTTCAGCCTCATAAGTAGCTGGGACAGGGGGCTGGGAAGGTGGCTCAGTGGTAGAGCGCTTGCCTTGCATGCCAGAGGCCCTGGGTTCGATTCCTCAGCACCACATAAGCAAAAAGAAAAAAGCCGGAAGTGGCGTGTGGCTCAAGTGGTAGAGTGCTAGCCTTGAGCTGAAGAGCTGAGGGACAGCGCCCAGGCCCAGAGTTCAGGCCCCATGACTGGACCCCAAAAAAAAAAAAGTAGCTGGGATAACAGCCAGGTTTTCTCTATGGAGATGAGAGGTCTCTTAATACCATCCCCTTCCCCCAATTCAAGGCTGGGTCTCAAAATATAGTCACCTTGATTTTCAGATCTATAGTACCTAGGATTATGGGGATTGCAGGTGTGAGCCACCAGTGCCTGGATGATATTTTTGAAATAATCCCTAAGAATTGAAGGAAGACGTGAGGTCATAGAATAGACCTGAAGTAGAGAAAGTGAGTCAAGTGGACATCCAGGGCAAGAACATTCCAGAGACAGAACTGTAGTGCAAAGACCCTGGGGTAGGAATGTGCTGTGGAGTTGTTGAGACAAAGGAATGGGCTTTGGGCCTTGACTAAGGGATGAAGGAGGAGAGGAAGGCCAGCCTGTCATGGAGGACCTTGGTGAGGACTTGACTTTTTTTTTTTTTTTTGCAGTGGGGCTTGAACTCAAGACCTGGGTGCTGTCCCTGAGCTCTTTTGCTCAAGGCTAGGGCTGTATCACTTGGAGCCAAGCTCCACTTCTGGTTTTCTGGCATTTTGTTGGAGATAGGAGTCTCAAGGACTTACCTGCCTGAGGCTGGCTTTGAACAGCGATCCTCAGATCTCAGCCTCCTGAGGAGCTAGGATTACAGCCACCAGCCACCAGTGCCTGACGAGGACTTTTTGCTAGGGAGAGATCCCACAACCTACTAGTTAGTGCACAACCACACACCAGGAGGGAGCTGCACTTACAACCATCACATCTGCTAGGCAAACACCAACCCAGGGTCCCACAATCACACCCTACCCCCTTGCAGATCACATCCCAGGAACAGTCACCAATCCCTTTAAGGGAGCCTTCCAACCAGGCAAATCCGGAATCCACAAACAGCCCTGTAACCACCACTTAACCCGCTATCTCTTCACCCCATCAGCTGCAGACTTTACCCTGCAAGGGGCTGACTCAGCCCAGTCCTGATTGGCTGGAGACACAGATAAGACCTGGGCCTAGACGCCATGTCTTCAGGTGCCTGCGTTTGTGTACACTGCTGCTGTGCCCACAGACACGCGAGCACGGAGGGTGACAGGGGGGTGGGGTGGGGGATAAACACGGACCAGCAGCCATCATCCCGTGGCGCGGCGGCAGCTGACGTCAGACACCAAAGTTCAGCCGTGTGACTAGAACCACATCTAGACACCCAGCCTACAATGCTGTCTCTCACACAAAAGGCCTCTGACACGCTCACAAGCAGGGACACACACACACACATACATGAAGATCTGTACACACGCAACCACACCTGCATCTGCATGCCCAGTGTGAAGGTAGTGTTTGCACAGCCCGTCCTTTAGCCAGAGTTCAGATCCACCCCAGATCCCCCCTCCACACACACACACACACACAGATGTGGGAGGTGCCACGCCCATGGGTGCCCCCCATACAGATGTGCAGGGGGGTGCCCCGCCCAGGAGTGCCACCTCCAAGGCCGCTGTAGTCATCATTACGCCGGCCTGGAGCTGGCACCAAGCCCGCGGCACCGGCCCGGGCCTTGGCTCAGCTCTGTTCACACGGGGACGTAGGGGCACATTGGGGTCCCCTCCCGCTTGCACCCCCAGCCACCCCAGAGTTGCCCCCCCCACTGTCGCCCTGTAATGCAATACCTCCCCACCCGCAAGCCAAAGGCCATCCCAGGCCTGGCCGCGGGTCCCCACCCGCAGCGCCACACCGCCCCCGGGGCGCACGGGCTCCCACACCCCCGCGTTTCCCGTCCCCGCTTGTTTTTCTGGAAACTCTGCTCTTCCCTTCTCCCCCCCTCCCCCCCTCGCGCGCGCGGCCGGAAGTGCTCGCTGTATTTTTAGCCTCTCTGGTTTCCGCCCCTTTCTCTCTCCTCCAGCCCCCACCTCGCCGCCCAGCGGCCCGGCCCCGCCCGGCCCCTTCCCCACCGCCCGTCATTCCCGAGGGGTTTCCCGGCCGCCCGGCCCGCGGGCTTCCCCGCTGGCTGCCGTCGGGGGTGGGGGGGGGGGGTGTGTGGGTTGGGGGGGGGGGGAGGAGAAAGAAGAAGAAACAAACACGCACACCCCGAGCTGGGGGGGGGGGGGGGGGGGGGGGAGGGCCAGGAGACAGACCGCCAGACCTTCCTCCTGGCCTGGGCACCCCGGGCTGGGGGACCTGACCCCTGATCTGAGGGAAGAGGCTGGGGCCTGGACTCCCAAATGTGAGAAGGAAGGCTGAGGCCTGAACCCCTGGCTCTGAGACTGGAGAGGCTGGGGGGGGGGTGAGGGGAGGGTCCTGACCCCTAGGTCTGAGAGACCTTGATCCCTGGGTCTGAAGGCTGGGAGCTGAACCTGTGTGGTAGGAAATGGAGCTTGACATTCTGCTCCCTGGATCTCACAGTCTTTTTTGGGGGGGGGAATACACCCTCCAACCCCTTGGAGAGAGGCCCAATCGCCAGCCTCCCTGCCCCAGTCTCCATGACTCAGCAGAGGGGAGGAGAGAGAGGGGAGGGAGGGGAGGCCCCGGCTGAGTCAGGGGTGGGAATTTCTCGGTCTCCTGGGAATCAAATCTGGCTGGGCTCAGCTGTGATTGGAACCAGAGCCAGCGCCAACACCAAGACCCCGAAGGCTCCTCCCACTTTTTTGGTTGGATCCCACCCCAGGCTCTGGGGCAATTTAGAGGCTGGGCCAAAGGCAAGTTCCCTGCGCCCCTCCCACCCTCCCCCTTTTTCCTCCTGTTGTCCCCAAGGCTGTGTTTACAGCAGACCAAGAGCCCTGGTTACCAGAGAGGAACTGGGGTGTCCGGGCCCAGCCTCCCCGTCATGGCTTCCAGGAAGGCCCCCTCCCCCTCTGGGTCCATGAGTCACAGGCAAGCAGGAGGCCGCAACCGTGCCAAGGCGGCCTGTGTCCCGCCCAACTCACGGGACCAACCCCCCGGAAGGTCCCTGCACCCCTGAAAAGCCTCTCATCAGGATTTCCCCCTCTCCTCCCTCAGGCCTAAGCAAATCATCCAGGAGCCTGACCTGAATCTCCTCACCACAATACAAGCCCTCCAGAAAACGCTGCAATGTCACTGTTTTGTGGCAATAATTTCTTCCTCTTTTTTTTTTCCCCTTTTGCATTCAAAGCCGGTCAGCTCATCCAGATTCCCATAGGCAAATGAATTCTCCCTGGTCAGGTGGTACATACCTGTAATCCCAGCCACAGCAAGAAACTGAAGCTGGTGGATGCCTGAGGGATAGGCCAGCCTGAACTACATAGCAAAACCTTGTCTCAAAAAAAATAAAAAAATGAAAAGGTTTCGGTAAGCTAGGGAATGATCCTGAAAAACTTAAACTTTGGTAACAGCATTGTCGATTTTTCCCCCCTTAACATTGAGGATGGCTTATTTCTTCCATTTTAAGCCAGCCATTTTCCTCTATAATAAAAGCCTTCACTGCTCCAAATTGAGTTTTCTCAGAGGAGAAACCTCCTAAACTAAGGCCCCAAGATTAGGCTGCTGCTGCTACCATTCAGTAGCTGGAATAAAAGCGTAACTTGACATTGGGTTTCCCATCTCTTAAGTGGACACATTGAGAGTACTGGCAGAATTATCATTCCTTAACAGTGTAAAGTTTGAGGACCACAATGGCCCGATTTGGAAAAGACAGTCCCTTAAGAGCCTTACTAAACCCAGGCATCAGTGGCTCACCCTGAAATCCTAGCTACTCAGGAGGCTGAGATCTGAGGAAGGTGGTTCAAAGTCAACCCTGGCAAGAAAGTCTATCTCCATTTAACCACCAAAAAGCTGGAAGTGCAGCTATGGCTCAAATGGTAGAGTACTAGTACACCTGGAGTTCAGGTCTCTCTCTCTCTCTCTCTCTCCCTCCCACCCCACAGGCCCCCAGATATCCTGGACCTCACCCCCAGAGAACGCAGGGCTGGGAGGGTGTTCCAGATCTCTCTTAAAGAAGTCTCAGAGGACAACTGTTAGCAAAATGAGCTCCCTTCCCATAGCTTAGTCCACTCCCTCCCTTCTCCACAGCTTGGCATGCTCCCTTCCTAGGCAACAGTAGGCCCACCCAGCAAAGGCAGTAAATAATCAACGTCCAACCCCCTTTTCCTTGGGATGGTGCTTCAATTGGGCAGCTACCACCATCTAAGGCAAAAGAGTCCCTTAGAGTGACTTCCGGGTCTGGGCAGTTGCAGAACCCCTTATCTACTATTTGGACAGCTGCCATAAATCCTCATCTGCCCTGATGAAGCCCCTGGCCCTCAGATCCACACCAGGATCTCTGCCTCCTACCCCCCCTAAGTCTCCTAGGTTATACAGGTCACCCCAGACAATAGCCAGCGCTGCTGCTCACTTCTCCCTTGTGAAAAGGGGTCCTTGCCGGCCCCTTTCCTAGCAATACACCTTTCTTTACCTGTTGTTCTCCGTACCTGGATGTCTGCGTGGTTCTCTGGCAAAGTCTAATAATCCTTCAACAACCCTCTCCCAGGCTCCTAAAGTTGTCTTTCTGAGAAAGTGTTTGTTATTGCGGGGAGAGTGCCCAGGAGGAATGAGCACCTGCTCTGGGGTTTGAATTCAAGCTCTGCCCTTACACTTTTTGCTCCAGGCTAGGGCTCTATCACTTAATCCACTTCTGGCTTGGGGGGGGTAGTTTAATGGAGATAAGAGACTCAGAGATGCTAGCTCAGGCTGGCATTCACCTGTGATCCTCCTATCTCAACCTCCTGAGTAGCCAGGATTACAGGCCCCAGATTATATTATTATTATTATTTTATTATTATTTAATGTGGTCCTGCCCTGCCCTCAGCCCTCCAGTTCCCTCACTTCTACCTCCTCCTACTTTGTGACGCCCCCTCTCTGTTTTAGTCTCTAGGTGTGTGTGTGTGTGTTGCATTTTTCCCTCTCTCATTTCTCGCCTTTCTCTCCAGTTATGTCATTTCCCCACCCCAGACTGTGGGTCTATCACAAGCCCACGCCCCTTTGGACTCTGCCCGGGCTGATCGTCCTGGGAGCCCTGGACTCCTGCCCCGCCCCCCACCTCTGCCCCAGTTCCCTTTGCTCTCCAGTCTCCAACCTTGAAAACTAGGTAGACGTGCCTAATACAAACTCTCCCCCCCCCTTACACACACACACACAACACCCCCTCCCCGGGCCAAATTCAGGGTCAGCTAGCCGGGGGCGGGCGGAACTAGTAAGTGGCCTGAGGGGCTGGGCCGCGGGCCCGCGTCCGGGAAGCGCCCCCTTGGCCCCGTCGCTGGCCCCGCCCCCTCGCCACGACCACGCCCCCACAGCACAATATAAAAAGCCGGCGTTCCCAGTTGCCCCTGCTGCCGGTCTACAGCGCTGGGACTTCTGGCTCTCCACCGTTCCCCGGCCACTCGCGCCAACCATGGATCTCTCTGTCCTCTTCGAGGTCAGTATCGATCGCCAGCATTCCTGGGGAGCCACACTTCCAGATGACTCTCTGGGGCGGCTAGCTTGGGGTAAGGGGTGGGGTGGGGACAAGGGCAGCGGGGGGGAATGCCGTATTTCCCCTTCATCAGACCAAGCCTGGTTACATTTTGGAAAACTGAACCTGCCAAGTCCTGGGGACGGAGTGGGAGATCTCGGCCCCAGGCCCTGGATCCCAGGGGATGTGTGCAAGGGAAGAGAATGATCGTGGAGGCGCCGGTTCAGGGCTCAGTAGGGTTATCTGGAGGCCGAAGTGGACCCTCACACCTGACTCCCCCTTAAATTGCTGAGGGCGCGTTTGTTCTTCTGATCTTGTTTATTCTGTGTGGCGCGGAGGGGTCCCAGTGTCAAGGGTAGGGGTGGGGCGTTGACTTTGGCCTCTGATCTCTCCGTTCAGAGATTTCCTAAAAAAAAAAAAGTCCAAAAGAAATCCGGGCTCTAGGATCAACTTTGTTTTCGGTTGTGAAACTATTGGGAGCCTGGTGCTCCATCGCATCGGGGGAAGGGGGGAGAGGCCCCAGAGGTTCAGAATTGGGGAACACTTGGTAGTGTGACTCCGGACACTCGCCTTGATCTATCGGGAGGAGAGCTGGGGATTCCTCGATCCTTCCGGATTGGTTTCATCGGTGGATGGGAGCCCTTGTTCTGAATCACCAGGGAGCTTGGAACCCTTTTGGGTTTGTGAGATTGGGTGGGGCTCAGGCCGGGGAGCCCACAAACCGGACTGGCAGGCTTCTGCAAGTGTCCTGCAGCTGGGGCGGGGCGGCACCTTGGCCTTTTCTCCTTCGGGTGTCCTAACCAAACCCTGTTCCCAACAGAGCCTGCCGTCGCTGAGCCCCGCCGACCTGCTTTCATTAGACCACGGAGGAACGGAGTCTCCGGGACTCTGGAGCCTAACTTCATCCGATTCCAACCTGTCTGGGGTGGTGGGTTCTCACCTGCCTGGCCGGTCCACCAGCCTGGTAGAGGGCCGAAGCTGTAATTGGGTGCCCCCACCCCCTGGCTTTGCACCCCTGGCTCCTCGCCCGGGCCCTGAATTGTCACCCTCACCCACATCACCTACTGCGACTCTGACCACCTCATCCCGCTACAAGACTGAGCTCTGCCGGACCTTCTCAGAGAGCGGGCGCTGTCGCTATGGGGCCAAATGCCAGTTCGCCCATGGTCTGGGTGAGCTGCGTCAGGCCAATCGCCACCCCAAGTACAAGACAGAACTGTGCCACAAGTTCTACTTCCAGGGCCGCTGCCCTTACGGCTCCCGATGTCACTTCATCCACCATCCCGAGGAGGACCTGGCCGCCCCAGGCCAGCCGCACATGCTACGCCAGAGCCTCAGCTACTCCGGCCTGCCCATGGGCCGCCGAGGCTCGCCACCCCCGGGCCTGGTGGACCCTTCCTTGTCCTCCTGTTCCTTCTCGCCCTCCAGCTCCCCGCCACCCTCCGGGGACCTGCCACTTTCACCCTCTGCCTTCTCTGCTGCTCCGGGGACCCCTGTAACTCGAAAGGACCCCGCCCCTTCCTGCTGCCCCTCTTGCCGAAGGACCACTTCTGGCAGTATCTGGGGGCCCGTGGGGGGCCTGGCCCGGAGCCCCTCTGCACACTCCCTGGGGTCTGACCCAGATGAGTATGCCAGCAGTGGGAGCAGCCTGGGGGGATCCGACTCTCCCGTCTTTGAGGCTGGGGTCTTTGGGCCACCCCAGCCTCCAACAGCCCCCAGGAGACTCCCAATCTTCAATCGCATCTCTGTTTCAGAGTGACAAGTGCCTTCTAGTTAATTGAGCTGGAAATCAAGGAGGAAGACACTTGTGGGGACCTGGGGGGGGAGCGGGGAAAGTGGGGGAACACCTCAAATCGAGAGGTCCTCCATCCACATTCCAAAAATGCATTAACCTGCACCCCCGAATGATGCCACCTCTGGGGCAGGTCCCCAGTGCCCGAGCACAGTGTTTTCTGCTGTTAAGGACAACAGTGTTTTCTGGGGTAACTAAAGATGTAGCAGATTTGAAGGAGGCAGTGAGCCCTCCTCCCCTCCCACCCCAACTCTGGTCTCTTGGGATTTTATGTGCTGTGAAGCTGGCCCTCACCACCCCTCTCCCATTCTTCCCCAAGGTGTCCCCTGGGGACAGTCCTGGTGCTCAAAATGTCCCTCAAGCGCCTAGCCAAAGCCATTGCCAAATTATTCCTCCCATACTAACTAGTGGGCTCCCCCTCCTTTTTGTTTATTTATGACGACTCTTATTTATTCTAATAAGATTTTATAGTATTTATATATATTGGGTCGTCCGATTCCCTTATATTCTTTTTCTAATATTGGAAACAATGATATTATTGTGACAGTGCTATAATATATAAAGTAATATATATATATTGTTACTTTGAAAGTCTATTTTTGTGTGTGTGTGTGTTTTGGAATTTTTAAATAAAAGGAATAAAAGTGGAGGCTGGCTTTTTATGTTGTTGGCTTTCAGCGGGAAGGGTGGGGTGACAGTTGGGGTAGTTTTTGTTTTGTTTTTTAAGGCCTGACCTCCAAATCTTATCCAGCGTTGAATCGCCCAGCCGCACTTACCTGGCAGGAAGTGACGTCATCAGCCCGTCGATTCACCTGAGGGGGCGGGGCCAGGTGAGATCACCCTGGATGGAACCTGGAGAGCCAGTTCCGGGCTGCTTGGGGCGGGGACGGGGGCCGCGGCCGGCACATTTCCGTCCCCATGGGGCCCGGGGAGGCGGGGGAAGCGGGGCGGAGGGTACAGAATGTGCTGGATCGCCTGTCCCGGCGGGCGGGGGCGGCCGGCGCGGAGGAGGGGTCACCCCCAAACTGACATCTTGGGGCGGGGGTGGGGATCCTATCGCCTACAGTCTCGACTTAAAAAAAGTCTGGAGGTGTCAAACTTTTGGGAAAAGTTAGCCGGGGAGCTTTTAAATAAAAGTTCCTAGTTGCGGAAATCTGGGCTCTCTGGATTCTCAGGCCACGTCCCCGAATCTGATGGGATCCGGGGGGAAGAGGGGGGGCGTGTCTGGGTCTCGGACCCCATTTCCCCCGGGATCAGGGCTCGGGGTGGAGGGGGGGGGCCGGGCGGGGCGCGGGGAGCCGCGTCGCCCGACCGTACAAGGCAAGAGGCGTCGGGAGTCATCCCCGGCCAGAGGCGGGGTGCGCCCGGAAGCCGCCCCGCATCACGTCAGGGCGCGCGCCCCGCCCCTGGCTCTCCTCTCCTCCCCCTGGCCCCCCTTCTCCCTGCCTCCCTCCCCGCTCACTTCCTCTTCCTCACCCCCTGGTCCCCCCAATTCTTCTCCTTCCCCCCCTGCTCTCCTCTCCCCTTTGCCTGCCATCCTCCCCCCCTCCTCACCCCTCTTTCTCTCCCCCCCTCCCCAGCTCACCCTCTGTGATACCCTCTTCCCCTGCAGCTCCTCCCCTCCCCTCTCCTGGGGCCTCTTCGCAGTCTCCCCATTCCCCTGGCCCACTCTGACCTTTGGTCTCCTCTTCCAGGAAATGGCTGGCTTCCCTTTGGGGAGAGGGTTTAGGAGACAGAGAAACAGAAACCCCAGAGACCCAAAAGCCTGGTGCCCAGGTAGTTTAGTTTATTTTTAGTGTTTCCCTAGGTGTCCTTTCTCTTGAGTTCAGGGACTACACTTGGCTGGGCTCCCACCACCTCTCAGCGCTGGTCCTGCCTTTAAACAGATCTCCTGGCTCCTTCTAGAAACAAACCCCTGGCTGCAATGGAGCTCAGTGATATGAGAATTTCGTTTAGCATGTGCTAGGTTCTGGGCTGGATTCCTAACACACACACACACACACACACACACACACACACACACACACACAAAGCTGGGCACAGCTGCCTGTCATCCTAGCTACTCAGGAAGCTTCGATCAGAGAATCAGGGTTCAAAGCCAACCCCGAGCAAAAAAGTGGTGAGACTCTTATCTCCAATGAACTACTCAGAAAAGGCCGGAGGTGGTGCTGTGGCTCAAATGGTAGAGCACCTAGCCTTGAGCACAAAGAGGCTCAGGGACAGCACTCAGGCACTGAGTTCCAGCCCAGGACTGACAAACCAAAACCAAAAACACGAACAAAAAACAAAACCCCAAACACCCATACCTCTCAAACCCGTACCCCAGGGTCACAGCAACTTGGTTTGATCCAACTTCAAAATAGATCCAGAAGCACAAATAGACCTACAGTCTACCCTTCAGGCCCAAGCCAAGGCCATAGCCCCATCCTCCTCAGAACTTCCCAGTTGATCCTTCCTAGTTCTGCTTCCTTCCCTAATCTCCTTTTTGGCCCTCTGTAGCCCCACCCCCACCCCCCCAGCCCCCAAACCTAAGGAAGCCTCTTAGGATACCAGAATCAGATTACAAAAATCAAAGTCCAAAGTCCTAACCACTGAACACAGCCAAGTTCCCATCTCCTCCCCTCCCCCTGTTCTCTCTGCTCTAATCACCTTGGCCTAGCTTTTCTACCGCTGCCACAGGGCCTTTGCACTGAGTAGCTCTTCTGCCTGAAAAACACCAACCCACCCCAAGCTCCTCATTATAGTCTCAGCTCAAATGGCCACATCACCTCCAGTTTCCCATCCTTACCATCTTAGAGTTTATTTGTGACATTTACCACCTGAAGGATTGACTCCCATCCTATTTTCCCGGGTGCATACAGATACCAAGCAACCCACCAAAGGTAAGTGCAGACTGTCTGACTCCAGCAGGACAATCTATCTAAGCCAGGCTGTAACCATCCCACTGTGGGCACAACCGAAAAGCCCCCCTCCCCACCTCCCTTGATCTAGTGGCTTTTTCATTCACCTCTGCCTCCTTGCTCAGACCTCATCAAACCCAGCTCCTGGGTCAGCTCTACACAGTCTCTTAGCTGTGGGAAAGCTGTGTCCCTCGCTGCTCTATCAATAAACAGTCCTGGCCCTTGGAAGATCGAGTCCAGCCTGTTTCCTTCCTTTCTCCTCCATTTTCCTAACACCAGCTAAAATATAAAATGTGTTTAATGCTTACCTTTATAGCAATCTACCTCCAGAGAGGGGTAAGAGAAGACAGAGTTGGATAAAGGCAGAAACTCCTGCTGTCATCTACTGAGATTTGCACGTTCAATTCCACGGCCAGCACATGTCGAGAGGCGATGTTGCCCCCTGGTGGCCGACATGTAACGTCACCATTCCACACTACAAAACAAAATGTAAATGAAAACGTCCCTTTTCTCTAAGTGGTGCATTTTGGTTGATTTACGACGTGAAAAAATTAACACGAATGAGAAAGCTTTAAAAAAAAAAAGACTCCAGGTAGTGTATACCTAGAAATAAATCTAGATACTGGGAAGACTGGCAAATTCCTGGACAGCTTCGGCTACGTAGCAAAAACTCTGTCGCTAAAGCAAAAAAAAAAAAAAAATCACAAGAGCAGAAACAACAACGTAACAGAAAAGAGAAAATCGTGCCCCAAGGACGAGAAATCAAAAAGTGCTCCAGGTGAGGATCGAACTCACAACCTCGGCATGGCTCCGCCTAGCACTGTCTTATAAGTACCGCGCGCTAACCGATTGCGCCACTGGAGCTCCGGCCGCACCCCTCCGCCACGGCGTCCTTCACTTGCGGGAGGCCACGTGACCTCTCTAGACAGTTCCGCCCTGTGTTGCATATGTAAATAGAAACGCTTCTTGTGACCAATCGGAGAAAGATCATGACCAGTTCCGGATTCTCACGCCTCGCCAGTCCTTTGCTGTAAAAGGGAGAAAAGTCTCCGCCGCGCTTGGAATGTGGGCTGCGGCCTGCTGGAGACCCCGCCCACCGATCTCATGAATATACATGAACCAAGGAGGCGGCGCCTTAACCCTTTGTTGGCGGGCCGGCCGGAAGGCGGCCCCTCCCCCTCGCGGGCGGGAACAGGATGTGAGCCGGGGCGGCCGGGTAGGTGGGAGGGGGGGGGTGGAGGGTTGGGAAGCTTTGGGTGACCGCCCCCCTATCCCACCTCGGGCACCTAGTTCTCCCGGCCGTGGCTGTGGCGCGATCCCCACTACGGATCCCGGGTGCGACCCATCATCCCAGGGCCAGAGTCTCGGACCTGGGGATCCGGAATCGCCTCAGGACGGCTTGAGAGAGAGAGAGAGACCTCCAAGTCCAGACACCCCGCACCCCACTTTGAGGACCTCGGATGCCCAGCGCCCCCTCCTGGAAGATTGGGGACCCCTGGAGGCCGATCGCCCGTCCAGCCTGCACCCGAGCTTGAAGACCTCAGCATCCAGGACTTGCCAGAATCCGAGACCCCCCAAACCGAACTTCTCCCTCCCCACCCTCGGCGGAGGGGGGGGGAGTGACGGGCGAGTTGAGAATAACTTGGGATCGATCTGGACCTGTAGCGCCCCAGTCAATCTGTTTTGGGGTGTGGCTCCTCCCATCACTTCCAGAAGACCCAGAACTTTGCGATCCTGGCGCTCCCCGTTTTAGGATGATTTCTGCTTGCTCTCGGCCTTAGGGGGGAACTCAGGAATCCGGCCCCCGCTTCCTTCAAGAATTTGGGTCCCCAGCGACCCGCCCCCCTC